GGGGTCCTCTCCACTTCACCACTCACTTTTCCAGTGATTGGCAGGACCCACTGGCCCACTCCCACCAAGGCTCTGCTTATCAGGATACCTCACATTTTTATAAGCAAAGATGGCGGCATGGCTTAAGCTGTGCTGTTTCATTGTGTCCGTCATCCTGTCTGTGTCTAGCATACAGGGAGGGAAAGAGAGGGCACGCCTAGGGAAGGAAGCCACCAGCACCTGAACATCAGTGTGGATTCCTAGTGGCTATCAATGGGCCAGCATTGGGCAAGAGAGCTCAGCGGGCATCCCAGGCTTTTGAGGAAGATGATGAAGATGTGGGAAGTTTTTGTAGTGTTGTCTAAGGCCTGGGACAAGGAAGTATGTCCCTAGCTCTCTTCTTGCCACCTCCCTTCAGTTTATCTACCTTGGTACATATGGAAGGAGACACTGCTATGTGCCTCAGCAATGTTCCTTAGTCTGAAAGAAGATGGAAATATCCATTGACGTTGGCCTCTGTTGCTCTCTGCAACACCCCTTCCCCTTCATTCCTATATGTTTCCATTTCACAGAGAATGGAAAAAGAAAAAAAAAAAAAGTTTTTTCTGCAGAGAAGAATCACGTGCTGCATCTGAAAATACGTCTGTGATGTTCTGTAATGACTTCTCCAGTTCCCGCAGGGGGTTCTTTCTGAGGCCTAGATGCTGACTGAAAGGCCCAGGTCCTGCTGGGAAAGGGTTGCTCTGTCAGAGAGACAGAAAGTCTCAGAGTGATGTTTGCGATGCCAAAGAGAGCACCATGGCTCCCTCTGGAGAGAGCTGCTCTTGTTGAATCGCCCTGATGCCTCGCGAACGTGAGCACTTTTGATGCTGGTGGCCTTGTTTTCTTTAAAAGGGCTTAATCTTTCTGTGTAGCAAAATCTGTCCCCTCCTCATCATGTCCCCCCTCCTCACCCCGGCTCCTCCCTTCACACTGCCACAGACATCAGGGAAACTCGGGAGTTCAGCTCCAATACCCCCAGAAGACCTCCAAGTTGGTGCCGGAGGCATGACCTACCCACTCCTCATCCCTGGAAAAAAAAAGTGAGTATATCACCATCTGGAAGTTTCTAAGCTGGAATTTAAAATGATGTTAGCAGGCGGTGCTGACAGGTAAAGCACTGAGGCAAGGCGAGTTGATCACTCGGAGGAGCTGAACAGCAGCCTGTCCATGTAGGGGTCCTGAGAAGCAACTGGTTACAAGCCAGAGATTAGAGGAGGCATCAGGGTGTACCAGAACCCCGGACCAAGCATCAGGAGGCAAGGGTTCAAAGTTCTCCCACTGACTCTGTGTGTGTGTGACTTTATGTTTCTGCCTTTCTCTAGACATCAGTTTCCTTGTCTGTCAAACTGGGTGGGGATGAATTACATGATTGTTAAAGGGCTCTTCCAGTGAAGACTAGAAGATCTCTAAGGGTCCCTTCCAGCTCAATTAGAAAAATGAGGTATGAAGATGGTGTCCCCCACCCAGGATCAGGAGCTGTCCAGCCAGACCCCAGGTTACCCATCTTCTGGAGAGATCAGCTAGTAACGCCAGTGCCCACCTGCCGCTTTTGATGAGAAAACCAAAAATTTTCACTGAACTTTATGCCCCTCCTTTTAAAGAACTCTATTTTATCTCCTTCCCTTTCTTTTCCTACCAGGATGACAAAGGGTATCTTCAAAAACCATCCCAGTCCTGCAGAAAATTCTCAAGTCTCAAGGTGCTAACGAGTCCTAATCTTCCCCTGCCACTGTTTAAACCCCTCCTGGGGTTTAGTGACCATCCTGGTGCTGGTCTCCCTTGTGATTCCTGCTTTCCTGGAACTCTCCATGAAAATGCTAAAATTACAGACACCTTGGGGGTGGGGGAGGGGGAAGAGGAGATCAGCCCTCGCCAATCACCTCAACAAAGTTTGGGATTTTTTTTGTTTTGTTTTGTTTTTGTTAAAACCATTTCTCCTCTGCCAAGACACTGTCTCCCCCCAGCACCAACAAATTAGCATTTTCCAAACCAGGTTGTGTAGAACCGGGATGTTCAATGGGATGTGAAGGGGGCACCCTGGAGATGATCGTACTAGTGATAATTCTCACTCTAAAACATCCTTTAAAAGATCTATGATTTCTCCAGGGTGTTTAGGTGGGGATCTTCTCCACTGAAGCCTTTGGCAGCCCCTCTGTGACTTGGTAGATGATTTCATGAGTTGAATTTTATTTTATTTTTTTGGCTACAGCATCATCTTGTGGTCTTCAGATGAACCTCTAGAATATATCCAGACCTGTGATTTTCACCAGTGTTGGGGACACCTGGTGAGAAGGCAACTGTTCAGCAACTTGGAATCTTAGAGCACTGTATGGGGGGTTTGGGGAGGTGGGCATTGAGAGGCTGTGACTTGCCTAGGTTCACACAGCTAGTTATGTGTCAGAAGAGCACTTGAACCTGAGTTTTCCCAGCTCTGAAGTCAGCTAGTCCTTTAACCACTAAGCTACACTGCCTCTCAAATATGTTATGAATTAAAAGTACATTAATTCTCATCATCATATTCTTTGAGGATTCCTCATGAAATGAGTAAACTACTTCCACTGACAGTGACTTAGAATTGGTGATCGAAAAAATCACGACCTGCAATTAACCTGGTGACAAACCTCTCTAGACCTAAGCCTGGATGGTTCTCAGATGACAGACACACTGAGTTCCACAGATGATGGAAAAAGACATTGTACATGGCAATATTTTGATGTGGAAATGGGCTCAATCGCTTCTATTCTGCTTCAAAATTTCCCTAAATTCGTTTCATGTCCAGGGTATTCCAGATGCTAAGACAAGTACTCCTCTGTTCCCTCACTATTTCAAGCTCCCATGGTTTCTGTGGCAAAAAATAAATAAATGAAAAATTTTAAAAAATTGGGAAGCACTGCCCTAAAAGAGTGGAATTTAACTAATTACTGGTTTGCAAAAAAGCAGAGTTGAAATGACCAATTCTAGAAAATCAGTGTGAAGGAGTTAAATTAAAAAAAAAAAATCCCCAAAGCTGAGGAAGAACTTCTGGGGACTAATCAAGTGTACTAATAAGATAAAAAACAAAAGGCATTTTAGAGCCGTGGTCTGTAATGTGTCCTCTGTTGTGTATGTGTGTGTGTGTGTGTGTGTGTGTGTGTGTGAGGGGTGGGGGATCTTTTGAACACGCATCTTTTTGTGGTTCTGTGCAGCAGGCTGAGGGCCGGGAAGGGGTGCATGCTTTTGTACAATATTCTTGCCAATTTCCCCAAGGAGAAAATTCTTTTTACGGCTTCTCCCTGCATGTACAGTATTTGGGCAGTAAGGATGGATGATTAAAGTCAAGTCTGAAAACTGGTTTGTTGCATGGCTCCTTTGAATGATGTGCCCTGGGAAAGAGGGCAAACATCTGGCTGCTGTGGATGAATCAAAGCAGTCCCAAGGCCCCACCCAAGAGGCAGGAAGGTGGTAGAGAGACAGCACTAGGGATCTGCTGTCATGTCCACTGGACGTGCGTCAGTCTCTCTCCGAGCTGCTTTCTCTTATGAGAGAATGTATTGGACTAGATCATTTCTGAGGTCCTTTCCAGCTCTGACATCCAGGATCTTAGGACTGAAAACTTGAAGGTTTCTTAGAGGCCAAGTCTAATACCTTCACTTCAGAGATAAGGAAATTGGGTCCCAGAGACCTCACCTAAGGTCACAGGTAGTAAGAATAGCAGAGTTGGGATTCAAATTAAGGGCCTGGGACGCAGTTCTCTTTCAAACACAACACTATGCTTCATCTCATGATGGCAGGATGGAGAAAGCCTGGGATTTGGAGTCTGATGCTTACTATCTTTGTGACTCTGGACAAGTCACTTGACCCAAGTGTGTTTCCTCATCTCTAAGGTCCCTTTAGATGTATGAATGTATGACCCTCTCCTGAAGCCCCAGATGTCTCTGTCCTTTAGCCTTCACATTGCTGCACCTCTGACAAAACAATGCCCTTTGGTACTTTATTCATGGCTGCCATCTTGGGGCTCTGCAGCTGGCCCTTCAGCCTTTCCATGTGCAAATTCTCACAGGAAAACCAGTCCCCAAATGGCTCCCCCTTCTACAGTATTTGATAATTTACAAGGCCCTCCTATGAGGTAGGGTGCAGGTAGTCTTCCTACTTTACACATATAAAATTATAAGGTTACCCAAGGCTCAGAGGAGAAGCAATTTGCCCAAAGACACACAACTACTCAGTAGATTTTTGGACTCCCAGGTTTGCCCTCAGAAAGCACCCCCTCAAAGTAGAAGAGAGCAAAGGTTATGGTCAAATGATACAAATTCTTTTAGATCCAGTCACTCCTTGATTTCACGGCTGATCTAAGAATTGAAAAATCCCAGCTAATGTCCCAGTACTCCTTCCTCGTGCTTTAAGAAAATAGTCCTGGTGACCCCTAGTGGCACAGTGGCCCCTAGCAGCCTGGCTCTGAGAGAGAGAACTGATGACTGGTCTAACACTTTAGTATTGGGGTAGGTGGACTGGAGCCCTGTTTATGCCCCCGCTGTGGTTCCTATCTCAAGGATTTATGTGCTAGGCCCAGATTCTCACACAACAGCTCTGCGCTTGGTTCTAATTCCTCCTAAGACTGGTGGCCAAGAAAGGGAGGTCTGATTTTGAGTTCCAATATGCAGATTATGGAGCCACCCTTCTATCCCAAACCTTGTATGTCAAGATAGCCTTTCTAGCACCCTGTTTATGGTCTTGGCCGTTGGTGATTGAGCTAACCAAATACCTAAAGGCACTGGAGACTAGGGAAGTGGAGATATTGATTTCCAGGGCTCCCCTTTAGCCTCAGCCATGATCTCCCCAAGATTTCTCCTCCAGTAACCAAAAGCTGCTCACTGGCCCACAAAAGTCAGGCATTGCCTAGAAGCCAAGTGTCCAAAGGCCATGATTTGTGGTGGTCCACAGTGCCCTCTACTCTAGAACCTTCTCTTTATCTCTCACATATACACACGTATGGTCAAACACACAGCATCTCACTGCAATATTTATTAAGGAATTTACATATACACAGGAGAAAGCCAACCAAAAATTTTGGTTCACGCAAATGAAATATTTTAAGCAAAATTTTTTTGTTTTGATTTCCTAGTGAGGTGAATGGTGATTGACAGGAAAGCTGCCTGGGGTCTCTGCCTCATGCACAGTGTAAAATATGCAAGAAACAGAGGTGCCAGGGCTACCCCAGAACAAACAGGACTGCAGGGAGAGGGAGAGGAAGGCAGGGAGGCATTATTAGGATGGCAGATAACACATTTTTAAAATTGTAAGAAAAAAAAACCGGCAATAGCTCTTAGCTGCCGATAAATTAACTCTTCTGTTAGTTTATTAATCTAAAACTTTTTATTTTGTTTTTAAACCACCACCCTCCAGTTTGGATGGGAAAACAAACAATAAAAAGCCATTCATAAGAAGGGCAAGCTTCCCGTTCTCACCATGTGTGCATGAGGCCCATCTCCAGGCAGCAGAGCCTCACAGTGACTTCGGGTCCAATGACAAGGACTAAAGCCACAGATGGAAGACTGCTTGGAACAGAGCAGAATGACCTTGGCTCTCCCTCCCTTGGAGGGGCTCTGGCTCAGCCTGAGCCTGGTAACCCCCCTTCACAAAGATCCATGATTGGAGTTTGATTACAATCCCCTTCTCTAGCCAGCACTCCTCTCATCCCTCCCCACCCACCCAAAAGCAAACTTAAAAAAAAAAGACATATGGGTGATACAGAGGGGCCTTTAACCCTCTCCCTCAGTGCCTGAACAGCCCCCACAAACCTCTCTCAGAGGCTGTGGGGGCAGAAGCTGCCTCCTCTCCTGTAAGGAAAAGGGCTCTGGGTGTGTGCAATCCAGTGGTGCTATTGTGCGCTCTGCTGCCTCCTCAAGAAGGGATGCACACCGAGGCTCTAAGGATCATGTGGGGCATGGACAGCAGAAAGCAGGTCTCGGGTACGGGGGGGGGGGGGGGGCGAAGTCATCAGGCTGGATGGGAGGCCAAACCCTGTGTGTCTCCTAGAGCAGTTTCCAAACAAAACAGGAAGAGGTAGAGAGGGAAGCAGGGAGAAGGGAGAGCAGGGAGGTTTTGGGAAAAGAAGTGGTAACAATGCAGGTGCTCCGCTTTTATTTCCACATCTGAGTACTGAGCGTCTGATTGGCTGCCTGGCCATTCCCACCGCCCATCGACTGTCCATAGCTCATCATGCCATTGGTGCCATAGAAGTTCATTCCGGCCATCTGCTGGGTCATCTGGAAGGGAGAGAGGATGTTTTCAAGCCCTGATGGTAAGGAACAAGCATGAGCCAATTCATGCAAAGAAGGGGCCCCTAGCTTTATGCTAAGGGAATCTGCAGCTTGCGGTAGGTCTAAGGAAAAAAGTTTAAAATACAGCATGAAGCTAGAGGACCAGCCCAAGACCTTGTGGATGAAGAATCTCCCAGACACAAGCGGCGTGGCCATGGGTTAAGACTGATTAGCCTCTCTTGAGATTCCACTTCTTCATCAGTATAATGGGGAAAATATACTACCTACCTCACAGGGTTGTGTGGAAAACACTTTGTAAACCTTAAAACAATACAGAAATTGGAATGATACATGCTCCTTGCAGTGGGCAGTCCTCAAAGATTATGACAAGGAAGCACCGACTCTGGCAGCTACTATACTCGGGGGAAGGCTGTGAGCACTGATTCTGTGATGGACGTGTCTGTCATCTGAGGACCAGCTGAGCTGAATTAAAAGGCCCAAGTCACTAATTTGGCTGCAGAGTAATGATGTCACAGCAATCTTCCAAGACAGTTTATTTGTAGAGGAATTGTGACTTGGGTGGGTAGGTGAGTACCTACATGGATGAAATTATAGAGATTCTTGAATGCTGAAGTATATTATTTTAATAATTCCTATTTTTAGAGTGCTTTAAAGTTAGCAAAGTGATTTCCTCATAAAAATCCTATAAATTAGGTAGAGGAGATACTATAGATGACAACTAAATGACAATACCTATATTTCTGGTGATTTATATATGCACAAATGAAACTACTGGAAAGAACCTAGAAAGCATTCTTAAAGACTAGGAATCTTTGGCAAGAAACTGAAGATCTTGGGACACAGATGGTGTTTTCATCACTTCTGCCTGAAAGCATGAGATTCAGAAAAGAAAGAGTCTTGGAGAGCAAAGAAGTGGTTAAGAAGAATGGCATGCGAAAAGAGAATTTAGATTTCCATGGCTTGAAATATGGGAATGACAGGTTCCTAGTCAGGAAAGGAGTGGACCTAACAAGGGCCAGTAAAAATCTAAGTTCTTAGAGGCTTGCAAATCTAATAAAAAGGACTTTAAACAAACAAACGAATGAACAAAAAAGAGCCATGGGGATAACTGCCTTTGTACATCTACCAAGAGAACAGAACAAGCCCAGCAGAGAAATCTAGAAGTTCACAAGAAACAACATCCAAGAAAGGAGCCAATCGCACTCTTGGCCTCCAGTACTGATACACAAATTTGCAAAGAATACAAGAAGTAGAGACCCGAATACAGAAGCAAATTTGACTTCACAGGTATCACTGACCCTAGCACTGGACTCATGCATATATATGGTCTTATTCAAGAGACAGGCAAAAAACGGGGGCAGAAGAGCACTGCATATTAAGTAAATCCAGCAAAAAAAAAGGTGGGAAATGTGTCAGAAATCAAGGTAGACAAAAACAGAAGTGAGCTGGGCATAGGACCATACTAGAAACCACCTGGGTACAAAGGAAATCTGTGGAGTTTGGGAAAAATCACAAGCTAGCATAAAGGCTTGATTAAAGCAATGATGGCAGACTTCAATTAGTGCTGGAGAGCTCTCTCTTCCAAAAGCAGAGTAAATAATAATATTCTGAACTGCTTTAATGATATCTTCCTCCTCCAAACAGGTCTAAGAAACCAACAAAGAGAACTACTATTCTTGGTCTGATTCTCATCAAAAATGTCCTGGGATGGAAAAGATGGGAACATTAGGAAAAGAACAAATTAACTTAGAACTTGTGATAGGGAGGAAATTCAGGAAGAATCTAAAATGCATTCTAGATTTGGGGAGAGCAAATTTCTGTTTGCTTCTGTTTTCAAAGTGGCTGATAGGGGGTTGACATCCAAAATGGTCAAGGAGATATTAAGAAAGCACCCAGCTAGTCTTGATAAGTTCAAGACACTCGACCTAGACAAACTACATAGCATAGCAGTGATATGATTGATGAGCTATCTGGAACAGTCTGAACAACTGAAGAAGGGAAAATAATGTCCCAACTTCCAAGAAGAGGGAAGACGCACTAAAGCTTGCAAACTATATGGCCAGTAAGTTTTGCTTTGATTTCTGGAAAAATTCTAAAACATGTTATTAAAATGATGGTTAATGAACATCTAACAAAGGTTATTGATTGTGATTGCAAGGAGCCAGTATAGCCTCATTAAAAATGGGTCACAGAAACCTGAGAAAACTCAAAATGATTGATGCAGAATGAAGTATGAACCAACAAAACCACTTATACAAGGACAACAACAATGTAAAGACAAATAACTTTGAATGACTTTAAGAATGCTCATCAATGCAGTGACCAACTGTGACTCCAGAAGACTGGTGATGTAGCATGTCACCCTCCTCCTGACAGAGAAGCGGGGCACTAAAGACTCATAAGACATGAATTGCTGGACATGGCTAAGGGGGGGAATTTGTTTTTCTTGACTATGCATATTTGTTAACAAAGGTTTTGCTTTTCTTCCTTTTTTTAGGAAGGGGGTGAGGAAAAATATTAGAAGAAAAGGTGAATGCTTATTAATTTAAAAAGTAAGTTAGAAAAAAGAACAGGTCATAATCTGATGACAGCTTTGAGGGTCTCCAAAGGACAGCCCAAATGATCTGTTTGACTTTATGCTATGTAACATTTTTATCAATGACTAGCATAAAGTCACAGCATACACCTGCTAATTTGAAAACACAAACCTGGAAGGAATAGCTAACAAACAGATCACTCTGTTAGGATTCAAAAAGATTTCAACAGGCTTGGAACACTGGGCTAAATGATGAAATTTAATAGGAATAAACACCAAATCTTACACTTGGATTGAAAAAAAAATCAACTTCCCAAGTACAAGATGGAGGAAGTGATCTGAAGGTTTTGGTGGACTTCAAGTCAACAATATGATACAACAGGCAAAAAACAGAAAGCAATCTCAGGCTGCATTAAAAAGAGGCATTGTGCCTAGGATAAAGAAAGTGATAGTTCCACTATCCTCTGCATTGGTTAGATGACATCTGCAGTAATATGTTCGGCCCTGGCCACCATATCTTAGGAAGGACATTGACGTGCTGGAGGAGATCCAGGAAGGCAACCAAAAAACTGAAGGGCATGGATTTCTGTGCCACATTAAGTGCAGCTGAAGCAACCTGGAATGCCTAGCCTGGGGAAAAGAAGACTTGGAAGGAATACATGACAGATATATTCAAGTACTTAACAAGCTGTCCTGTGGAAGCTAGAACATTTTTGTTCTGCTTGATTCCAGAGGGTGGAAATTCCAGAGACCAATACAGCTTATTCTAGTTTGCCTCAGGAAGTAGTGGTTTCTCCCCCACGGAGGTCTTCAAGCAAAAACTGGATGTGACCACTCGTTGGGTAAGTTGTAGAGGGGCAGCTCATTCAGTTGTAGGTTAGACTTGGCAGCCTCTGGGATCAATTTGGATTCTGTGGTTTTACAGACGAAGAAACTCAGGCTCAGAAAGGCTAAGGAAGAGCCCAGGGACACTAAGCAAAGGAGTGAAGCTCAGATCTCCTGACCTCAAGGCCAGAGCTGAGTTGGGTTATGTTTTTTCAATGCATTACTTGTCTTTCAGATATGGCAGCCCCCAATCCTATCACATCCTAAGATGACAAGTTCTACTGCGAGCTGACTGCCAAGATCCCGAGGCTCAGGAAGTCAGAGATTGTTGGCAAGGATCAGCACGTAAGTAACTAAAGGCACTTCCATGGTAAGTCCCTTCCCTGCAGCCCTTATCCAATCTCTAAGTGTGGTCTTAAATTGAGAGAGTTACTGGTACTTCCTTATGAGGGGGAACATCTCCAGCCTGGTCTGTGTCTTTTCCAACACCCGGCGCTGCTGCAGGCCAGATGCCTGCTTGTGGAGTCTACGTATGCAAAAGACTAGAATCAGTCCATTTAGAACAGGCGAGAGGGAAGGAAGAAACCAGAATGTTTCCAGGGTGCCATGATTACAAAGCAGGGAGGTGGAGCACAACCCCAATGTCCTTCAAAAAGAGTATACAAGAGAAAATTAACAAGATAGCAAGAAGAGTTCTTTGAGTGAGTTCTGGAAAAGTTGTGGACCAGGCTAGGCTATTGCTGCTTAGGACAGTGAGAAAGCTACTATTTGACTCATTGGGAGGCATGGGGACAAACCCAAAAAAGAAACTGTTGCTTTCTTTGAAAGCCCAAAGAGGGCTACTCAAGCGGCTTTTACTGGGGAACAAAAAGCATAAAGGAAGAAAGCATAGAGAATCAGACAGAAGGAAAAGGCTGAATTCAGGTGATTAGACAAAAGGTTTATAGGCTCACAGGATATCCATAACCAAAGAGGACCTTCTAGCCTAACCCCCCAAAATTTTAGAGAACAAAGTCCAAGATAAAAAAAAAATGGCCAACAGCAGAGTCAGGATTAAAATCCAAGTATTCTCTCTCCAAGTCCAGTGCTCCTTCCACTAGATCTTTGGCTGTCCAGCCATTGCCTTCTGGCAGAAAGGGAATCCAAGGGAATCCAAGAGATGATTCTTGGTGGAAAAGAAACACTTTTGCCCTTCACTAATTAGGGAGATTGGTGTTTGGCAGCAGAACTAGGCAGGAAATTATAAAAGGAAGATGTACATACTCAATGTTTCCTGAGTCTAATTCATCTTGCTGGATAATGCGGCCTCTGTTAATATAGCCTAAGGACATTACTAAAAAGACTTACCTGTACAAAAATACTTTGCAGTATTAATAATAGCAAGAAATTAGAAATGACCTACATGTGCAGTGTTTGATAAATGGCTGATTAAATTGTGATATAGCAATGTAACTGAATATCACTGTGTTATAAAAAAAAATAAATGCAAAGAAATATGGAAATGCTCATAAAGTGATGCAAAGAGGAAAACAGAGTCAGAACACATACATAAAATAATATAAAAGAAAGTTTTGTTGCCTTTGCTGGTTCTAAGTCCGGAGACAGAAGTGAATGAAAAGGGGAACAGAAAAAACAAATTAATTATTTTATGTTTATATCATATAATTAGTAAAAAATAGAAATAGCTTAGGTTTGTGACACAGGGTTTAATTTCATACTGTTGCAACTGAAATTAAGATAAACCGAAGCACAAAGTTTCAAGTTTGTTCAATTTATTGGGAAGCCTAGCAATTACCAATAAAATGGGTCTCTCGACTCCTCAGTAAGCCTAAAAGACCATGAGGTGGGGGTTACTAGCCTTCATACAATTTTGGGAAATACAACAGAACAAAGAACAGGAAACATCACAGATGGGAACCTGAAGTGTCAGAGATGATGAAAAACATTATGACTGGATGGAAGTCTGGAATGCACAGCTAGCAACAACCTCTCCTTCCATCTTGTTGCTAGGGAAAGCTCACTGGGGTATCCACCTGCATGGCTAGCAAGTGCCACACTGTTATAACAGACCAGACTCCCAGGCAACCACCTGCACCCTTCAGGGAGAACAGATTTCTTCTAATTGTACAAAGACAACTAGTGGTACAGAAACAATAGTTTTCTTTCAGTTAAAGTGATCTGTAGGGAAACAACTTTTAAACTTAACTTCTGGATCCATGAACTTCTAAACTTAACTCAAAGAAACATGGCTCAAGGTGTTACAGATAGAATTAATTACAGAATGGAATCAAATATAAATAACTAAGTCAATATTTGATTTTCCCAATACTCTACTGACATTTCTTGAATGCTGCTACATTTCTAATAAAAAATTAAATACCCAGAAGGCTCTGTTCTTCTAAGACTACAAATTCTAAGAGTTAAAAGGAACTGAGCTCAAAAGGCACCTAGTCCAATGTATAGGTGAAGAGGAAACAACTCTCTATACCACCCTGACAAGTGGTTACCACTAACCAAGGGCTCCCTAGTTCCAAGGCCAGCCCAGGCCACTCCTGGACAGCTCTCACTGTTAAAAAGATTTTCCTTCTAAAAAAAAAAAAAAAAAAAAGATTTTCCTTAAAAAAGAGCTGAGACTTGCCTGTCTGCAACTTTCCCTCACTGGCCCTAGTTCTTCCCTCTGAAGCCAGGCAGAATGAGTATCATCCTGCTTCCCCATGACAGCTTTTCAGTACTTGAAGGCAGCGATCTCATCCCTCCTCCAGGCTTGCCTTCCTCAGGATCCTAGACTTAGAGCAGGAAGGGACAGGAGAACTTACCTTATGAGACTGCAGACCTTCTAGGAAAAGAGCATACAAAGGATTCCTCTGGTCAGAGGAAGAGAACAGGAAAAGAAGGAGGCATCACAGAGTGCGATGGAGTGACAGCCTCCAAAGAAGGCCAAGTCTCACCTGAGCCAAGTTCCATTGCAGCTGCTGTGCTGGTGGAATGCCGTACATTGTCTGGGGCATGGCCGCCATGCCTGTGACGTAGCCAGCCTGCTGGGCAGCCATCAAGCCATTGGGGACACCCATCACCGTGGCCTGCATGCCACCTACGTAGCCTGGTGGAATGGCTACAGGGGCCACCATCCCAGCAGCTGCAGGTTGGGCAAGCATGCCCACTGGTGGGGGCATCATCCCTCCCATCATGGTACCAGTAGGGGGGACACCAGGAAAGCTGGGGTAGGCTGCAGGGTAGGCCATCTGAGCTGGCGCCATGAACATCGCTGCCAAGAGAGCATATGCACATTTATTAGGGAGCTGGGAGAGGGCCTAGAAGCAAGTCAGGTTTGACAGCTAACCCCCTCCAGTCTTCTCAATAGTGTCCTCAAGACAGCCTGACATAGACTTTCTTCCCTAAGACGCTCATACCATTACTGTAGTCACAACCACCAGGTGAGATCGGAGACATGCCACATTCCCCCATTACATCACATGAAAGCTGGGCCTCAGGCTCAGGTATCCAGATGCCCACACCAGTCCTGTTTCTCCTGCCCTACCCTGAGCTCCTTTAAATGGTGGTTAACAGCAGGTTAACAGCAGCTCTCCTTTTTAGGGCACTTTCAAATGTAGTATTTTCCTCACAGTGACTGTGGGAGGTCAGCAACTCAAGAATTACTACCCCCATTTTACAAGTAAACAAATTGAGGCTTATGAGAGGGATGTGACTTTGCCAGAGTTTTCAAAAAGCTAAGCTGCTGGCTGTCTCTCGTCTGGCTTGCTCCTTACCTCCCCCAGGGCTGCCTCCCTTTGGGACCCTTTCCTCCTCTGCTGTTTCAGATTTCTTTGCTTCACCAATCGGCTCAGATCTCACCTCCCCCAAGGAGCCTTTCATCTTCATGAAGGGAGCATGCTCTTCCCCTGCACTCTACCCAGGCTCCCATACTCAGCTGCACTCTTTGGTCAGGGTTCTTAAAAATGTCAGGACCAGGGAATGGCCAAATTGGAAGAGACCTTCAAGATCAACCAGGTCAATACTTTCCTTTTACAGATGAGGAAACAGATGAGAGAGGAGGAGCTTTGCTAAAGGGTACAAAGGTGGTAAAGAGTAAAGGAAGATTTTACTCCAGGTCTTCCGACTTTGGAATCAGGAAGGAAGAAGGTTCAAGTTCCATCTCTGACAATCTGACACATACTGGCTATAAGACCTTGGACAAACACTTAACCTCTCAGGGCCCAGGCGATAAGTTACAGATAAATTGCTGATTGACGCCAGTGGAGAACATTTCCACACTGAGAGTTCCTCTACCCTGATGAAATCAGATGTCTGGATCCAAAGAAAAAAAAAAAAAAAAAAAAAGGCAGAAGCCACCGTGTAAGGTGGATTCAGAGATGAAAAACGACACTATCTGTTCTTAGGGAGCTACAACCCCAGGGGGCAGGGACAGGGTACAGAAGGAGCGAGAAGGCAATGACAAGAGACCTGTGTCTGGATGTGTCTTGGGAGAAAGAGGTCTGAAAGACACTAAGAAGGTTCTCAAGGGGGCCCATCTGAGAACGGAGGCAGGAACAAAGCTACACCTTAATCTGTAGGACTTTTTAATGGGTCAGCCTGGCTTCTAGTTTACCTTCATACCTAAATATCTCCCAGTGTAAGAAGCTTGCTATGAGTCTATCCACACGGACTTTAATGCTCAGCTTGGTCTGAGTGGACACCCTGACTCAGTATGAAAGATTGGGACACTAATCCAGGCTTACGACTAGTTAAGTCTCTCTATGGCTACCTCCTTTCTAAGGCCAAGCCCAGCACCTCAGCACCTTCCTTCCTCTTTGGGTGGCTCTGACCCATGACTGATCCCTATCTCTTATTGCACTGAATTGGAAGAACGGCAGCTGTTAAATTGGCATCTATCTGCCTGCTGATACTTTGTGGCTTCTCAGGAAGGGTCAAACAGGTACACTTAGGATAGGATGCTCAGAAGTACCTAAGGCTGTACCAGCAGCAAGAACCCTTCCAACTTCTAGATTAGTCCCTTATCTATTAGCCCCACATGTCTATCCTTTAACATTGCAAATGCCCAATAAGCTCCCTTCCCTATGAAATTTACCTTGAGCAGGCATCTGAGGAGTTTGTGATCCATAAAGTGAGAGGATAGAGTCTTTAGAGAGCTGCTTCTTGCCCGATTCTTCTGCTTTGCTCCCTGGTTCAGGAAACAGGTTCAGATTTTCAGGAACAGAGCTGGCATTCCCTGCAGTTGGCATGGATCCTACAACCTTGGAGCAAAGAGGGAAGGGAGAATAAGAAGGGGCCACAAACTCAATCTACCTTCCCATCCCAGACATCAGTAATGACATTTGCTATAACAGCTCATAGCTTAAGGTTCAAGTTTCCAGAGATAGGGGTCATTTTTCTTAACCATTTATAAACCTGAAGCTATCTGCCTGATGGGCTCTTCTGGACAGCTTTTTATGCTTCCCCCAATTCCCCTCCTCCCCCAAGAAGATAATCATAGAAAGGGAACAGTAACCCAGTCAGCCTGCACAGCTTTACATAAACTTAATGAGAAACCCATTGGAGGACCCTTCCTTTCCAAGCAAGAGACAAACAAAACCAAGAAGCCATTGGTGGATGAGAAGGACACAGAAGAGATAACTGGTCAGGTAAAGTCAATTAAGGAATAAGGCAGCAAACCCCATCCAAAGACTTAATGTTTTAAAGTCTTAAATACTGCCCTCCCAGCACTTGCTTCAAGCCTGAGATTCACAAGTCTCACTTTTCTAGAGTCCGAGAGAGAAGATGATGGAACTGAGGCCAAGAGATCTAGATCCTTTTCTAGGGTGTTACTGGTCTTGCTGTTTGTGATGCTGTAAGAGGCCACAGGAGCATCTGGAAGGAGAGGACACAAGTCTCAAAAACATAAGCACATGCTAACACTGACCACTTGTTTGTGATGCTAAGTGGAGGGCAACACTCCCAATGCCATCTTCCTGGGATGCTTCATCACTGTTGGGAGATGACCCTGGGTTCTGGAGATTGAACAAAAGCTCTTGCCACTTCATCCAACCTGGAAAGGTTGTGTATCTGTGACCTAAAGGGCAGCATGACTAAGTGTGCACAGGATCATCACAGGTGGTCACCAGGTGATTCATTTTCCCCCAACAACTCATGAAACTGATTCCTAAGGGGCAGAAAGCTTATGATCTGCATCTGTATGGGGCCTAACAAAGCCCAAAGACACCATCATACTGATCCTGGAAGCATAATGAGGTTAAAGGATAAGCCTGACTCCCAGCCCAGGTGCTGCAAGGGAGTTAACTATTGTTAGTGAAGTCTTGAATCCTAGGAGGGGACTGTGACTGACTTGGGTAACATTCAGACTTCCTAACTTGGTGTTCTCTGCCCCCTACCTCTCCGGTAACCCAGTTCTCCACTCCACATTCTCCTTGCCTTTCTCTTGCCTCTCCATCCCGAGGGCCTACAGATCTGATGGGGTACGGGTGGAACTGAATTATGGGGCAGAGACATGTATAGATGGATATTTCAGTGAGGCCTGAATATTGTGTCACTACATGTACTGAGGAGTTCCAACTGTCTCCTGAGGTGAGGTGAGAAGGTGAGGGGATGGGGACAGAGCTTGTCAAAGATTTCTACAGCATTCATTTTCAAGAGCTCCATGGTCCATGAAACCTCCCCCTACTCTCCCAGCTACACACTGGGGGGAGGGGGGCCTCCCTCCTCATATTCCTAAACACCCTTTTCCCAAAATTTCTCTTTGCCTTTCTCATTTTCCCTGGCATCATATGCATGTGTATGGTATTCCCTCTGGGATCTTGCAAGCTCCTTGACAAAAGGGTCTGTGCCATCTTGATCTCTATTCCCCCAGCACAGGGCATGTAGGCACTGAATACACCTGAGGTGAGTTAAGGTATGGCAGCAAACCCAGGAAAGAAAAGCAGCCCCAGCAGCCCCAGGGCCCCGATGACTCTTCAAAGAAGCACAAAAGCAGCCCTTTTAGACCAGGACAGAAAGGGAAGTCATAACCCTCACCAAGGCCCAACAAGTCCATGACAGGCTCAATTGCTTTGGGGGAGCTTTTTCGAGGTAGCTGCAGGTCTTCCTTCTTCTGAGGCTAAATTGAAAAACACAATATTATTAAAGAAATGAAACAGCTGATTTTTCAAAGAATTCTTTTCAATGTATCATAAAAAAATAACAAATGCTCTTGGACCAAGGTTACTATTATTCAGAGCTACTGACAGGAGACAATAGAAAGTAACATTTAACACTGCCAGCAAGAAAGGAGCATGTAATCAGACTGGTGTCCACAAGTGTAAACCTAAAGTGACAAAACTTTGCTGGTTTGGCTACACCTCAGGAAAAGGGAAGGACTCTCTAGCACCATGGGAGGCACACTGAAAACCAAGACAGGTCGTCTCTAAGCCCAGGAAAATCAAGAGAGAAAGAGGCAGTTTGGGACCACAAGAGAACAAAAGTCAGGAAGGGCTGATGGAGGGTGCAGGGAACAGGGGGCAAACCAAGTGCCTGAGGGTTGGAAAGCATTTTCACCCAACACTGAGGATCATGCTCCAGAGACACACAGCCAAGCACGGAATGGACCTCTTGTTTATGGAGCGTCAAAGTTCCCACCTGGTCCCAAGAGAAACCCTGCAGAGCAGAGCCCCCTAGGACTGAGGAGAAAAGGGAGGCCAAGGGTCCCTGGGGAAGCTCTCCCACTCCAACTCACCATTTTGACTTTCTCAAAAATCACAGGCTCTACTTTCTTCTCTTGAGCTGGCTCATTGCTCTTTTTCCACTTGTCATCTTTTTCTTTCTGGGAAGGATTTAACAAAGCAGAAGAACACATAAGGACCCACAGAGATTTGAGTCATTTTATTTGGTGACAACTTCAAGCGTTAAAACTCAGTAATGGAGAACTGCTCGGAGGCCCCACAATTCTACGCAGATGCCACTTAGCTTGGAGCTGCAGCATATCCTGCCAGGCATTTTGTCTCGAGACACCAACATATAGCTCATATGACAGAAATGGGGCACGCCCACAGATAGATGAGTTTCTCTTAGTAACCTAAAATGAGAGGCGGAATCGTGTAGTCAAAAGAGAGCTCAACTTGGAGTCCAGAGACATGAGTTCAAATCCTGGCTCCAATACTTTACCAGCTCTGTGCCCTCAGAAGCATCACTTTCCTCGTGTGTAAAATGGAGATGGAAGGATTTACACTACCTGCCTCTGAGGATCATTACAGGGAAAGGGTCATGGAAATCTCAAGGAGCCATAAAAATGTGAGCTATCATCATAATGTATCTGTCATCCATGAGTTAAAAAACAAATCTCTTCTCACCGATACCAACTCTTGGGGGTACCAAGGTTACTACTTAGAATGCTGAAGTTGGACTTCTGTGTCCTTAATTCACACCCCCCTCAAATATTCCTGGATTGATTTATGATCTTACACATTTGCTCAGATACAGATTGGATTAGACAGCCTCTGAGAGCTCTGCTACCTGATTGGTTGTGCCCATGTTTCACCTGAGCCTGATGTCATCTTTTCCCACTAAAGATTATTAAGCTTTTTACTCTATCTTCGTATAATAGTCCCCTTTTCCCCCTTAAAAGACTTAGGATCATATGACTTTTAGAGCTGGAAGTGTCCTTTAAGATCTTCTAATCTCGGGGCAGCTAGGTGGCACAGTGGATAGAGTACTGGCTCTGGAGTCAGGAGTACCTGAGTTCAAAATCGGCCTCAGACACTTGACACTTACTAGCTGTGTGACCCTGGGCAAGTCACTTAAGCCATTGCCTAGCCAAAAAAAAAAAAAGATCTTCTAATCTAACTTTCATTTTAGAGATGAAGAAACTGAGCCCCAGAGAAGGGACGTGCCTTGCTCAGAGTCACAGAGGTAGTGAGCTGAGCTGAGGAACTCCCTGGATTCAAGCCTAGATCTTTTGGATTTCAAAAGCCAGTGATCTTTTAGTTCCATGGCACTGTGGTATAGTGACCAGAAAAAAAGAACATTATTCCAGATGTAGACACAATACCCTTCTTAGTGATGGCTTTATTGTCATACAAAAAGAATGGGTAGATATCTTCAAGCAACAATGTGCAATGACTGTCAGAGCCACTACTGATGGCTCTGAACACATCAACCTATGATTGAACTTCGGGTTCTTTCCCCCAAAACATCACCTACACTGAAACTCATCTATTACTCTACTTCCCATTCAACCTAGGCTAGCAAGATCTTCGAGGATCTCGAATTCCCGTTGCCTGAACTTCTCACTACCTGACAGGATTTGGTATCATTCACAACCTGGATTAACTGTCTATTCCCTCCTGCAGATCTCTTAGGAAGAGTATAAAAGTTTACCATGAGAAGCAGCATGGTACAGTGGATATAAAGCTGACCGTGAAGCCAGGAAGAACTGGGTTCAAACCCCATCTCTGGAACATAATGGGCAAGTTATAACTAAACCTCTTAAGGCTCCAGACAATTCTCTAAGACTGCAAGCTTCAAAGATGCTGATCTTTATTAGCAAATTGGGTTTCCTCACATGAAAGTTCTCTAGACCAATGAAATCAGATTCAGTCCCTTTCCCTATAAAAGTTTAAATTCCTGACCCTGGTATTCAATTGTAAAAACAATTTGGTTCCAATGAACCCACTTAGCTTCTATCTGTCATGACTCTGCTTTATACAGTCTAGGGAAAATACTCTTTTCCTTCCCTTTCCCCCATTCTTGTGCTGTCCCTTCCTATGTCCACACCTTTGCACATGCAGTTTCTTGAACTGGACTGGACTGAATGTGAAGTAGTCACATGACGTTCTGTCCCCCTCTAGCTGGTTATGGTTCTTGTTTTCTTCAAACACCAACTTATGTGCTGCTAATTCCTCCATGAAGCATTGTCTCCCCATTCCCCTTCAAGGGAAAGGGATCTTTCTCAAATTTCTCAGAACACTTTGCCTGGCTCTCTTTTGCTCCTGGCACATTTTTCTTTGTATCATATTTATTTCTGTGTAGGTCATATGCCTCCCATTAGAGTGTGAGCTCCTTGAGGGCAGGCACTGTGTAGTTTTTCATCTTTGTCATCTTACACAATTCCTTGACTACACTGAGCTGTTAGTCTGTTGAACTGCATTGAACTGTAAGTAAGAATGGTCCTTGTTTCTATCTCTGAAGAAACCCATTCTTTCCATTTCTCAATCTACAGAAGTTTCCATCTATCACTATGACTGGCATCCTGTTTCTGAGTCAGGTCTGTATATGTAAAGGGCAACCCTATGTTCACAAGGACTCAATTTTTAAAAAGACAGTCTTAAAAGTATGTAACCTTGTCAAAGGGTTTTTAAAAAAAGTTTAAATAGGTATGATATCAAGTAGTACTTCCATTCAGCACATATTTATCCTCTCAAAAAGCTCTAAGTGATTACTTAAGGTAGATTTTGCCCTTAATGAAACCATCCCGCCAACAGGCTTTCTTTAAGTATTCAGTGATCCTGAATGTTTACTACAGATCTCACAAGACTCCTGGATTTGGAAATAAGACATCATCTAGTAGCTTCCAGGTCCCCCTTTAGAACCCTCCCCTGCCACTGGGGAAATTTTGACACTCATCAGTCCAATGGCATAATGGCCATTTGTAATAATAGGTTCATACTTAGGCCAACAGGTGAACAAAATTCTTGTTTACCATCCCTTCTTGGCAGTTTATTTTACTGACTCAGTGTAAGGATCTGCTTGCTTGAACCTCCCTGCTGTTCTTTGAACAAAACACTCCCTCTCCTAACTGGGCATTTTCACTGGCTGCCCTCCATGCCTGGAACTCTCTCTCTCTCTCCACATCTCTATCTCCTGGCTTCCTTCAAGTCTCAGCTAAAGACCTACATTCTAAAAGAAACCCCTCCCGATCACTCTCAATACTGGTGCCTTCCCATCGTTGATTATCTTCATTATCCTGTATGTGTCTTGTCTGCACACAATTGTCTTTCCTATTAAATCTGAGGATAGATTTTTTTTCTACCTTTCTTTGTATCCCAAACACTTAGCACAGTTCCTTGGCACATGGCAGGTGCTTGTGGACTTGCTTTGTTAATTTGAAGAACAACTTAACTATGTTTTTACCATTCTTTGATCTGGTAATTTGTACCTGCCAAGGTCCAAGGAGTCAATGTAAGAGTGGGAATTTCCCTATCATCATCCTTGGTATAAACCAAACCAAAGAATTCAGTCTCTTTCTAGTTCCGGAAGATGATCCTTGCACCCAAATCACCAAGTGGCCCCACGTTTCTCTACTTAACTTCCTTCCTCCTTCTGACATATTTAAAGGGCTATTTCCTGGTGGTTTATGAGTCTCTTACAGGGTGATTTCCAGATTCTTTTTTTGGGTCGACCTCATTTACAAAAAAGACATAAAACTAACCCTAAAGGCATTGATGTCCAGGCTTCGGTCCATGTACTTCTTCTTCTCGTATTTATCTCTGATAAATCCTTCTACAGCTCTGCAAGCAGCTGATTAAGGATGAAGTAAACAAGGATGGTGAATGCTAATTAAAAAAGACTACTAGATCTGAGAAAGGCAGGAGATGTAAAAAGAAATGATATCACCTTGCCATTTTGTTTTTCCTTTTCCCAACAAGTTCTCATTCCCAAAGGAAGGAGGCCCATTTCCTGGTCTCCCCACGTTTCCTTGTGGTATCCCATGCCCAGCTTCTGGGAACACACCTCCCATCCCGTAATCACAGCCATTCAAGCTTAGTGGCACCTCATTTTTCATGATCCTTTTGAATAGCTAAAGTGAACAGTCTGCCATGGAAGTTTGCCTCCATTAAGGTCCCAGTCTGATGCTTCATCATGTGAAACCTCTTGAAGGCAGGGCCATTGGAGCACAATCTCTGGCAAGCCCTAACTACATCAAAAAAGCTTTGAGTGTAGGGTCACTCATGAATTCTGGGCCTGTATTCTGAAGAATGGTCTAGCCAGCCAGAGAGAGAGCCATCACCAGAGGGGTGGACAACAGGGATTGCATTTTCTCCGTCATACCAACCTACAAAACCAAGGCAGAACAGAGGTGGGATCTGAGTTGGTGGAGGGTTCCCCACATGAAGAAAAGGAAAATCTTCTAAAGTACATTCTTTAAAGGCAGGTGGTAAACACAGCATATGCCCTACTTTACAATATTCAGTGTTCCCCGCTCCCCTCTCCCACATACAAGCAAACTATTCAACAGCTCTAATTCTCTCACAGGTAGCGTAGAAGTGATGTGTTGAAATGATTGCATATGAAAGCATTTTGGACTGTAAGGGTAGAAAGAGAAGAGCTAACTAATTTCTCTTTCCATGGTTTCACAGATTTATTAATGGTCAGAGACGATGCCATGTGAGAGAATTCACATACCACCCACTACAATTCTGACTAGAATCATTTCACTTAAAGGTGAACCTCTGGGCAGAGTTCTTTCCTTAGTAACGTGACATGTGAAACTTCTGATGACAGGCAGAGAGGTCTGCGGGGAGTTCAGTTGCCCTGAATGGCCCCCACATAGCTGCCCCAAACTCAAGATCTGTTGTCAGGTCCTAGGCAGCAATGCTGAATCACCAGCCTTCATGGTGCACAAAGTCACAGGTCAGAAAGGATACGGGTCTGTCTGAGGTCGCCGGAAATTTTCAGGTAGGTAGGCCTCATACAGTCGGTTGGCCTTCCCATTCCCCATCTCTTGCATGCACTGAAATTCAAAGAGAGCACTGAAACCTAACGCTCCTCAGAAGGGATGATACTTAAGAGGTCCCACTGAAGACCTGCCTCCTCCGCTTTGGATTTCTATCTCATTGATGAGGCCAGTTAAAAGAGCAGCTATCTCCAAGGCTTTGGAGTGTCCCTAGGAAAGGGTGAGCCTGGCATCCTGTATCTGTCATAGTCTACAGGGACACTTAGACTGAACAAACCATCCCTTTGGTGCCGAGGTGCTGACACTTCAGCCAGACCAAAAGGAGGTGGAAAACACTCCCACACACCTGGCGAAAGAGGGTTGAGGGAAGTTTGTTAAAACCCCAGCTCTGTGGCTAGAGTGCAGTATGAGCCCAAGCAAAGCATGCTGTCACTACTGGCTTCTGGATCATCTCTCAGGAAGACGAACCCTAGCAGGCGGTCTGCAGGGAAAAAAATGGGCACGTGCATGACTGAAGTGGTCTTTATAAGTGCATGAAGCTTTACACAAGGATGGAATAGTCACAAAAACATACTGTTTATCCACACCTTTGTAAAGAAAGCCAGACAAAGTGTAAAGTGTGGCCCCTAGCGTTGTCCAAATTATCCCCCAAAGAGACTGAGGATAAAGGTCAAAGGGAGTCAAAGGCCTTTAGAACTAAAAAGGACCTTAGAAACAATCTAGTTCAAGCTCCTCATTTTACAGAAGAGAAAACCGAGACCCAGAGAGGAGAAAGGCTTGTCCAATGTTACAAGTGGCAGTGCCTGGATACATGTCTCCTAACTCCGAATCCACTCTATCAAAAACAACACGCTTCTGGTTGGTCATACTGCTTGTTAAAGACAGAAAACCAAGTTTTGACTGTCATCATGTCAATATATCAATGATCTGTAATTTTATCCATGTGAATATTCCCTCCACCAACCAAGATCACAACCCCTCGATAAAACAGTACTGTCTGTTTGGACCCAAAGGCAGTTTAAAAAATGCATTCGCTTTTTCACCTCCTCCACTAAAGTCTTTTTCCAATTGCTCACTGTGGTGTGGAAGAACCTTGAGCTTCTGAAAACGAAGCACAGCTCTGCTGACGAGCTGGAAAGGCTTCTGAGTATGGGTCCAGCAAGAGACAGTGTCCACTGAGCTTGGAAAGTCACCCCACAGATGACCTTATTTGGCCACAGTAATTCCTGACAACCATCTACTATCTCATCTAGGACAGCACAACATGAATTACAACTTAGTTTGTTTACTGTTCCCAAATGAAGGGCTCTTCTGTGGCCTTTGTGCTCACCTACCATCTTTGGTGACCCACCCTCCCCGGAAGAGAATGCTTACCAGCAGTCAAGTCTGTGGCTCTGTGCTAATTCGGCTGTGTCCATTACCTGAATCTGCTCTTGTGTCCACTGGTCTAGGTTGACTGACTTCACCCTGGAAATGTGCACACCGAGGTTCCTGTGAATTCCTGCACATCGGATACAGATGAACACACCAATGTTCCAGGAGGCCCATCGTGGTCCTATGAGGAGAGTCAGGGAAAGGGCTGGTTATTTATTATGCTGGCCAAGACTCTGTCCGTAGAGGTGCTTCCAAATGAGAAGAATGCCATAAAACTTCTATGTTCCCACTAGAATAGAGACCAGAGAAGCTCAATGGTGTAGACCTTTTATTAGTTCCTTCAGACTACTGGGGAGCACCAAGAGGCTTTCTTTTCCTGTTATTTGACAATGTCAGAACCCAAACCCATAGGCCGTATAACTGTATTCGTTTAATTAAATGAGAAGAGAAAAGCCCAAGATAGGGACTTGGAATTAAATGGGTCTTTGAGTCCCCCCTTCTGCTACTTCTTAGCTATGAGGATCATGGAGGTCACCTGCTCGGACTTTGACAGAGAAGTTGAGTCTCTAGAGGTAAAGGGCCTTATCCAAAGTAATACACAGCTAATAAGTAGCAGAGCCTACATTTGAACTTGTCTCCTGATTTCCCCTCACCTAGCTGGGACTCAGTGTCTTGGGGGACAGGGTTGCCCTGTGTGATCTTTGAATCTCTTTCTAACTTTGACACCCTGTGGTTTTGTATTGGGTTAATACTTCAGGTAGAATGAGTCCCAGCTAGTGATCGTAAGGAGGACTTGAGGGCTCTGTTTTTGGGACGTCTCTTATCAAAAACAAAAAGCAAAGCAGTGTAAACTTCCTTTCAACCTCTTATTTTCTTGAGTCTGGTAGCTGCTATCTGGTTACCAAGCTCCTATATTAAGGGGCTTGACAGCTGCTGAAGGGCCCAGATCTCAGTTTTCCTACCAGTAAGAGACATGTTGTGGCAGCTAGGTGACACAGTGGATAGAGTGCTGGGCCTGGAGTCAGGAATACTCATCTTCCTGAGTTCAAATCTGGCCTCAGACACTTAGTAGCTGTGTGACTCTGGGCAAGTCACTTAACCCTGTTTGCCTCAGTTTCCTCATCTGTAAAATGAGCTGGAGAAGGAAATAGCAAGCCACTCCAGTATCTTTACCAAGAAAAGCCCAAATGGGGTCACAAGGAGTCAGACACAACTGAAACAACTGAACAAGAGATATGTAAGAGGTTAAGCCCAAGGCCCAGGATGAAACTCAGGTTTTTGTTTACAGTATTAACCCCCTCCCCCAACAAGGTCTATAAAACATGTAACAGTACTACACTTAACAGGCTGCTTTCCACTTGGGTTATGTCCCTGCTTGGCTAAGCCACAGGAAATTAGACTGGAAGCTGCCAAATAATTCACAATCCTACCTGAACACAATGAGATTCTCCACCACATACCAAATACAAAAACCTGGGATAGAATCATTTCCCTCATCCCCTTGCAATGGATTAGAGTGATCTCTCTTGAATGCTCTGAATTACTAGCCACCTCTTCTTTGGAAGTCACGTAGAGAAAGAAGTGGTTTAAGATTGTAGACATTTGCCACAGAACTTACAGGAAATGCACATATTAATTTCCTTCTTCACCACACTCCACAAATGTAATATGGATAACAGAATGATGGCGTTATACTGAGGAGGAACAAGGGAATGAGCAAGAGGAAGAAAAGACAATGAGTTATTTCCCGCGATCCAATGCCTGACACTATCTCCCCAAAGCAAATAGGTCTTGTACTTGAAACAGCAATAGTGAAACTCTGCAGGTTTGAGATACTAGATTATGAAAAAGCAGTGTTTAACAGAAATTCTGGAGGAGGTAAATAATACTGAGAAAAGTGGGCATTAGATCTCGGAAATTCAAAGCAATAATAAACGAGAATCTCCTTTATAGAAATAGTATTTAGGTGCTAGGCTGATAGAGAACCAGACGTCCCAAAAACAGAGCCCTCAAGTCCTCCTTACGATCACTAGCTGGGACTCATTCTACCTGAAGTATTAGCCCAATACAAAACCACAGGGTGTCAAAGTTAGAAAGAGATTCAAAGATCACACAGGGCAACCCTGTCCCCCAAGACACTGAGTCCCAGCTAGGTGAGGGGAAATCAGGAGACAAGTTCAAATGTAGGCTCTGCTACTTATTAGCTGTGTATTACTTTGGACAAGGCCCTGTACCACTAGAGACTCAACTTCTCTGTCAAAGTCCGAGCAGGTGACCTCCATGATCCTCATAGCTAAGAAGTAGCAGAAGGGGGGATTCAAAAACCCATTTAATTCCAAGTTCAGTCTCTGCTACACCACAAAACCTCCCATACCTTCATGTCACCAAATAATAGTCATACTCCAAATTTGTCTATGGACACATACATGGCTTTTCCAAAATGCCCAACTCCTCAGGAGTAAGTCCATAAAAACTTTCTCAATGGCTCACGTGCTCCAAATTACAAGCATTAGTGTGGAGAGGCAAGCACACAAGGTCATGGACAAGCCAGCGCCTGGGTTTGAGCACAGGAGGATTCCTAGAGAACTATGTGCTGTTTTTACACTGCTATTCTCACTTACGAGCTGTAAATTTAGGTTTCAAAAACACTAAAGAGATCACATTTCACATAAAAAGTCAGCAGCATTGACTCCTTGAGCATACATGGCTAGCTAATTACTACCACCATGCTGAGAGCAAAACTAGCCATAAAAACATGAATTGTGCATCAGTTATGGTGGTTTCCCTCCTACTTCCTAACCTACACCAAGAAGGAGGCTATTTGCTCATCATTTAACCCACTGTTAGAACCTTATCAATTCTCTACATGACACCCCAGGGTAACCATGGTCTTTTTGTACCTTCTAAGGAACAGCATTTGGGTGCCATAACACAGGGCCCCAGCCCAGAAATACCAATAATGACTGCATGAGAAACCAACAAAAACCTTTCCCTCAACTCTAGATTTTGAATTTACCAAAACTTATATAACTTTATACCATTTAGAACAGTGGCAGACTATAGCTAGTGACTCAAGTTTCCTTTAGGGTAGTACCACACACATACAAGGTTTGCTACTCATTCATTCAACAAACATTATTAATATGTTCAGGACCTTCCAGGAAAGCCTTCTTCTGATGTTTTGTCATGCCTTGGAGGTGACTCTAGCTTCTTGGGCTATGACAGAAGAAAGCAATCTCTGACAGATCCAACTCAAGCCTGAAAGGTTTTCAAATGGGGCCTGACAGCTGACTGCTGGAGGACTGTGAGGAAATAGATTCTAACACATTGTTGGTGGGACTGCAGACTGATGCAAACACTTTAGAGAGTCAAGGCAACAAGCCTAAGAATCACAAAACTGATCAGAGCTGTAAACCCAGAGACTCTACTGCTAGGACTTTATCCTAACACATCAAAGCACTTGGGAGAAGTATCTACAGCAAATTCACTCAGGATAACAATGAGTTGAAAACACATTAGGAACAAATGAAGGAATTGGAGGAAAGACTTGGGATGGGGTATATGACGACTGCCTTGAAACAGCTGAAGGGCTGTCCTACGGAAGAGGAAATACTCATTCAGGAGAACTCTAGATTTTGAATTTACCAAAAATTATAGTAGTCTAAAAATGGAATAAACCACCTTGGGAGACAGTGAGCTCACTGGGACTAAAACTGCTCAAGCAGAGGCTGAATAACTGACTATTTCTTAGGAACGTAGTTGAGGTGATTTGTGCAATGGACAGGAGGATTGACTAAATGTCCTCTGATGTCACTTCCAACTCCAAGAGTCTATGCCCTGAACAGATATCTGTGTTTTCTTCACCTAAGGAGATAGATGGGCAGATGGGGTGGGATGTGACTGGGCAAAGCTAAGTTGGTGGGCAGGTTGCACTGCCCTAAAGTATCAAGGCTAAGTATATCTAGAGAAGCTGAAACAGACTCAAGCAGTTTTGATTCGTTTTCTCCCATTACGCAAAGGGCATTTGCTATAAGTTTCTTTCTAAATCCTGCTAGCTGCCAATGGTGGCTCTCAAACTTTCCCCTTTTCCTTACAACTGCCATTTTCTGAGATTAGGGAAATAGGCAGAGAGAGATGGAAGTAAAAATGTCCAAAACTCTCTCAGAGATAAGCCAATTTAGTCCCTCTTGAGAACACTGGATAGAAGCTTGCCTTAGAAGGTTCACAGGACAAAAATAAAGGTATTCTAGAAAACACGGATTTTGAGCAGCTTGCTTTCTTCTGGAAAGTATTCTTTACAGTCTCCCATTACATACTCACTTAGCTGCAGTGGCCTTCTCTAAACACTGCCATTCACACAACCCAAGACAGTCTAGCATGTAAGGTGACTTCCTGAGGCCCAAAGAAAGAGTGTGGATTCTGCAGCTGCTACAAGATCTACTCATTTGGTGCATCTGACAAGGGGAAGGTACACAATGAAGGATAACGCAACCTAATGACAACTAGAAATAATGATACACAAAGGAGGAAACAAGCTGCCTGAAGAGGTGGAAAGAGTTGAACAGGGAACACTTTTACAACAGAAGAAAAAAGGATAGATGAACTACATAAATAAAATATTATGCATAAGGAAGGAAATAAGCATTTATTAAAAGCCTACTATGTGCCAGGCACTGTGCTAAGTGTTTTACAAATATTATCTCATTTGGTCCTCACAACAGCCTTGGAAAATAGGGGCTATTATTATCTCCATTTTAAAGATGATGAAACTGAGACAGAAGTTAAGCCACTTGCCCAGGGCAACACAGTGTCTGAGGTCTGGTCCCAGCGCTAACCACTAATCCAACTGCACCATCAAGCTGCAGAGATCACCGCCATGCTTAGCAAGACAACAGACAATTTAAAATTCATACAATGGCAGCAGGTAATAAAGTGGTCTTATGCCCCATTAAATGACATCAATCAGCATCATACAATAAGGGATACTTAATTTAGGGACATGGTTAACCAGGACTAGCACAAGAATACAACTATGTGTAAGAGCATCAGTCAGGGAATAGGGAGCCCCATGATTCAGCCCTACATTTACACTGCCTGACTAAATCTTCAGTAATTTCATGGTCCTGTGCCTCTGTCACCCCATTTTACAAAAAGAGAAAAGAAAACTTATTTTTGAACACA